CAAAGAAAAATGCAAGTGTAGAGTCCGCGAGGACCCAGACAGATTTCACATGCAATAGAATGGCAAGAAGTTAGCATACAAAATAGTAAAACAAACAAGTATAACTTAAATAAGATGTAATTCGATTGAAATGAAAGCCACTTGAAAAATCAAAACTGAGAATACTACCATTTCAACTACTGGACCCAAAAGTAACAGGTGATTTTGAGAGAGACAACTAAATCAACCTAACAGATGACAAAATGGACAAAACAGTACTAGGACACTTAATGGTAACGAGCAAACGCTTATGAGCAACAAAATCTAAAAGGGGAAAACAAGAACAAATTAATGCTTAGCCAATAATCAACAGTGATTCAAAATGTCCATAGAAAAATCATATTCCATAATCAACAAGTTACAATGCTATAAAAATAAAATAAAAAATAAAAATGCCGACACAACCTAATGAGGCTAACTTATCATGCTTGAAGGTCACAAATTTTAAAGATAGCAGCAGGCCAAATCATTTTAGGAGAAATTATCGTTATATTCAAACAACTAAACATGGTGAGGGTATTGTTAAGCAGTAACAACAAAATTATGCTAAAACAAAATGTCATGCCCAAGATGTTGATACTTTCAAATCAAACAGAGGCTCAACTTGCTAAAAAAATAAAAAATATATCAAATTAATGACTCTAAAGACCAACCTAAGCTATCATGAAGACCTCACTGATGTTTAAGAACAAAGAGACACAAGAGTTGAACTAGGGTGAATACATAGTTCAAAATGACATATATGTTAATACTCTAGACAGAAAAGAAAATGATGACCCGATTTGGAACTTGGGATAAGACAGAGCATGAATATAACGAAAGTCAGTCAGAGATTCTAACAGTAAAGGCAATGAATATTCATATTCAAATCAACAGAGATAGGCTCATTGCATAACGATTAGAATCAAAATAAAACATGGGTGAAGGAAGAACTATTACCTTTCTCCAGGCAGTTGAACTGAAGACAAACGGGCAGAGACAACGAGCTTCTTCCGACACCACCAAAATGCGATTCCAAGAACTTGGATGAACAGGCAAAAACAGATGGTAGCAAAGAATGAGTGAAATCGAGGTTTCTCGTCTCTTTGTGCCTTCGAAAACTATGGTTTGAGTATGCTTCTCCCCTTTTAATGTTGGCTAATTTTTAATATTTGTTTTCTGCCTGAGTATACCTCTCTCAAAACTCTATTTCTCAACTTTTCTTTCTAGCTTTTTTCTAACTCAAAATTTCCGACCCTTTCACAGTGGAGAGGATGAGATATTTATAGGGGAAGAAACTAGGGTTCGAAAATGGGGGGAAAGGAATGAAAATTCGGATGATACAAAGCCTATTTTTATTTCAAAAATCAAAAAAATTCACCCTTTAAGGAAGACAACCTTTTTCCTGCGATTTCAACCCATTCCGAAAGAGGAAAGGGCGAATCGATGCTTGGGATTGATCAATCATCCTTAGGGCTTCAACGTGGCCTCATCTCGAGTTGACAAGGACGATTCTGTGTCCCCCTTTGCTGTTGCGACCGGGATTTTGAAAGGGACAGGAGGAAAAAGACAATAAGAGGTAGTGTACTGCCTTTTGTGCGCTTTTCCGTGTATCGCCGTGTATAGAATAATTAGCTTAATTATAGCTTATGAGCTTTTTTATCTTAACGAGATAGAATAATTAGCTTAATTATAAATTAATCGATTTTCACATAAACTAAATAATTCAAAATCAAAAACCATAATTCAAACTAAAACTAAATTAATAAAACATTTATTTTAGCAAAGCAAAAATCTTTGATATGATTTTCAAACACTTATAAAATATACTCATTACGTATATAATTATATGAAATATATTTATTATTCAAAGTACTATAAAAATCGACTGGAATTATTTAAACTAACCTTGAAACTATTTGGATTTTATAAAGCTAATTATTCTAGAAACGTTTAGAAATTAATAAGCTCGAAAATTAATTATTATCGGGGAGAGTCAAAATTGGGTGTCAACAATTGTCCCTCATTTTACTTGGATTGATGCAAGAAATTCGAGAAAAATGAAATTGACTGGTCCAATTTTGATCGACCACATCTCCGTCTTTGGAAAGGGATTTGGTAAGGACTTTAAGAATTATGGCCAAATCCCAAAAAATGGATTTCCTACATATCTCAAGCTATATGAGAATTCAGGCCACTTGTAGTTCGATATACTTGATTTTCACGCACGATTTTGAAAGAATTCAAAAGCCATCATGATACCGAATTATGAAGGCATCAGAATGCTCGAGAATAAGATTTAAGAGCGAATGTTAGAATACAACCGAGTTTCAACATTGATCCCGCCTACATATCCCTCAACTTAAGGAATCAGGCTGCTTGTAGTTCAACTCAATCGGTTGAAAAGGAAATCTCTTATGCTAAGATATCCTTCGGTTCGAGAAGAGTGACAAAAATAAATTGAGTATGAAAAGAAGGCTTGCAACCTCTTAACCATGAATGTGGCGCGCTCCACACCCATAATTAAGAACTTACACGGATATAATTTCCAAATCCCATAGTGCATTGTCACTCATATTGGAAAGCTGCTTCCGGTAGAGATAAAAAATTTCCGGATGCGAAACTGGAATTGATAAACCCAAAGATAAACCCACATACCTTCTGATAGGGGTGTGGTTTGATTGTGGTGGAAGTCGCTCCTCTGCTCGCGTTCTAAGAGTTTGACACTCCTCTTTGAACTATATCCCAGTTCGCTGCTAAGAAAAAGTTCCACGTTGTGCTGCATCCTTTTTGATGTCGTCCGCACCTGTGGTTTGTTTTGAGAATTCATCCTCTCGGATGCTCTCGACAAAGACTGAGATAAAACTCATTAGCATAAAAATGCAATTCAAATGGAGATATAGTGTCTTTTACCGTGTCGACACTTAATTTCTCTCTTTGAACATTGACGTCAACTTTATCGGATTTGACGTAAAGCAAATAAAGCTTGTACATTATATTTGTAATATAATCTTCAATGCACTCTTCTTTTGACATCGAAGCAATAAAGTAGGATGATGTAATATGTTGATAGTTTCTCTTGACGTCGTTGTTGACGGTTCTCTTAAAATATTCTTACAAATGACAATGATGCAGTCGATGTTGATTTTCTCACGATGCATGGCTTCCTTCCTTGCGATGCGTGAATCTTTTCTCTTGCGATGCATGACCTCTTTCTCTTGCGATGCATGACTCTTTCTCTTGCAATGCATGACTTCTTTCTCTTGCGGTGCCTAGTTTCTTTCTTCTTGCAATACATGACTTCTTTCTCTTGCAATGCATGACTTCTTTCTTTTGAAATACATGACATTCTTTCTCTTGCGATGCATGACTTATCTTCTTGCAATGCATGACTTCTTTCTCTTGTGATGCATAAATCTCTTTCCCGCGATGCATGATCTTTTTCTCGCAATGCATGAATTTGTTCTGCAATGCATGAATTCTTTCTCTTGCAATGCATGAATCTCTTTCCCGCGATGCATGATCTTTTCCCCGCGATGCATGAATCTCTTCCCGCGATGCATGATTTCCTTCTCTTGCTATGCATAACTTCTTTCTCTTGCTATACATGATTTCCTTTGATGATGCCTCCCTGATACCAAACGAAGATCATGCTTCACCGAGCAACATAGGTGATCTCCCAGGTATATTTTGGATGGCGGTATCGTCTCAATCGACAATATAAATAATGACCCTTGGGATAGTGGTATTATCTCATTTGATAATACGATATAAATGACTCTCCGGGAAAGAATATTATCATATCTGATAATATAATGTAGATAAACGTCTTCCATGTATCTTTAGTTGCTGGAAAATAATAATATTGCTTTTTTCACGATTTTCATTTGTTCCATCTCCGAACATAGTTGCAATGTTCATTATGATCCTCGCTTTGCTGAGAATTTGAATGAAATAATGCTACTCATATTCTCAATTCTTTGGTATAAGAAGCATAAAACTTTTCCGACATCTACAGAAAAATTGTTAGTTTAAAGTGAATTGATCTGTGTCGATTCCTTGGGTTATCTGCTCCTTATCTGGTTATCTCTGGTTGATTTCTTCGATCTCCCGCTTCTTGATAGATAAGACAAAACATTTTTATGCAAAAATAATTGAAACATGAGGGAAAAGTTTTTAAGAAAAATAGATTTTCAAAAGTAACGTTTGGAAAAGGTCACTGCCAAGTGTCATGTCGCGTCAAGCTTAATGAACGCCATTTGGAGTTGATGTCTCGAAGTTTATCTGATTACTTGTTGGGAAGTATTCAAAGTTGCTCTAAACTGCCGATCAATCCTATTGAAATTTTTGAGGTCATCCTAAAAAATTTATGTCCCAGTTAACTGTCTTGGCTTATCTTTAACCGTTGGTGATCAAGTCACGAAATTTTTGAGATCCTCTCAAAAATTCTGTCCCAATCGCAAATTTCAAAGTATCTTCAGTCTTGACTTGTTGGAGTAAATCTTCTTCTTGAGAATTTTTGAGTCCTTCTCAAAATTCTGTCCCAGTTTCTATTATAAGGAAAAATAAAAATCTTACGGGAGACATGACCGAGCCCTTGTGGCGCCTACGTATCCCATTGAGGCAGAAATCAAGTCAAACGTAGTTCCCCTTCTCGAGGATTAACAAAATAGGAAATTTACAAAGAAATCGATCGAGGCCGACATAGGCCGCCTACGTATCTCATTCTTGAGAATTCAGGTCAAACGTAGTTCAAATACAAAGAAATATTAAAAGGGGATAAAAGAGTGATCGAGGCTGACATAGGCCGCCTACGTATCTCATTCTTGAGAATTCAGGTCAGACGTAGTTTATTACAAGAGGGATTAAATTCTAAACAAAGCAATTACAAGCAAATAAATGATTACAAGGGAACGACAGAAATACAAACTGAAACTTCACAGATAATATCTCTTGACAACATCTGAGTTGATCAGTTTCGGTCATTCGGTACCATCCATCTCCGACAGGACCAAGACACCTCTAGATAACACTTTGCGAACCATGTAGGATCCTTGCCAATTTGGTGCGAATTTCCCTTTGTACTCATGCTGATGAGGGAAAATACGTGTGAAAACCAACTGGCCGATTTCAAATATCCTGGCTCTTACTCTTTTTCGGAAAGCACGAATCATTCTCTGTCGATACAATTGTCCATGACAAACAACAATCATTCTCTTCTCATCAATCAATGTTAATTGATCAATCTGTTTGCGAACCCATTCAATATCATTTAATTCAGCTTCTTGGATGATTCTCAATGAAGGTATTTCAACTTCTGCAGGTATAACTGCTTCTGTTCCATATACTAGCAAATATGGAGTAGCTCTAACTGATGTTCTGACATTCGTTCGGTAACCCAACAAAGTATATGGCAACATCTAATGCCAACCTCGATAATTATCAATCATTTTCCTCAAAATCTTCTTGATGTTCTTGTTGGCGGCTTCTACAGCTCTATTCATTTGGGGACGATAGGCGGTTGAGTTCCGGTGAGTAATCTTGAATTGCTCACATATCTCTCTCACCAGATGACTGTTGAGATTCGCTCCATTATCAATAATGATGGATTCTGGTACCCCAAACCTACATATCAAATTGTTACGAACAAAATCAAGTACAACTTTCTTAGTTACCGACTTATACGAAGCTGCTTCCACCCACTTGGTGAAGTAGTCAATGGCAAACAAAATGAATCTGTGTCCTTTGGAGGCAGGTGGCTCTATTGGACCAATGACATCCATGCCCCAAGCTACAAACAGCCACGGCGAACTCATAACATTGAGTTCATGAGGCGGGACTCGAATCAAATCGTCATGTACTTGACATTTATGACATTTCTGCACAAACTTGCAACAATCATGCTCCATAGTCATCCAGAAATAACCGGCCCAGAGGATCTTCCTCGCCAAAATGAGTCTATTCATGTGAGTACCACAGACTCCGACATGTATTTGTTCCAGAAGCTTTGCGGCTTCACTAGCATCAACGCATCTGAGAAGACCTAAATCTGGAGTCCTCCTATAAAGGATTTCCCCACTTGCAAAGAAATTGAGGGCCATACGACGCATCGACTTCTTTTGGTTGAACGTTGCATTCTCAGGTTAAGTCCCAGTCTCCAAATACTTCTTGATGTCAAAATACCAAGGTAAACCATCCGGTTCTGCTTCAACATGTGAATAATGGGCAGGCTGCTCTTTTACCTCTATATCCAAAGGATCAATACAACTTGTAGCTGGATGTTTAATGATCGAGGCAATGGTGGCGAGAGCATCGGCCAACTCATTTTGTGTCCTGGGAGTGTGTCTGAACTCAATCTTGCGGAACCTTTTGCACAACTTTTGTATATACTGCACGTACGGTGTGATTTTTGGGTTCTTCACGATCTATTCTCCTTGGACCTGGTGAATTAGCAAATCTGAATCTCCAATGACCAGCAACTCATGAACATTCATGTCAATGGCCATCTTCAAACCGAGGATACAAGCTTCGTATTCTGCCATGTTGTTCGTTCAATCAAATCGGAGTTTAGCCGCCATAGGATAGTGCTCACCAGATTCTGATACTAAGACTGCTCCGATACCTCTTCCTTGGTGATTCTCCGCTCCATCAAAGAATACTCTCAAACCAGGGTATGCTTAAGAAATATCTTCACCCATAAATGCAACTTCTTTATCGGGAAAATAAGTCTTGAGCGGTTCATACTCTTCATCAACTGGATTCTCCGCGAGATGATCAGCCAAGGCTTATGCTTTTATCACCTTCTGAGTCACATACACAATATCAAACTCGCTCAAAAGCATTTGCCATTTAGCCAACTTTTCGGTCGGCATTACTTTCTGGAAAATATACTTCAACGGGTCCATTATGGAAATAAGGTATGTGGTATAAGAAGACAAATAATGTCTTAATTTCTGAACAATCCAAGTCAAAGCACAACATGTCCTCTCCAAAAAAGTGTAACGAGCCTCATATGGAGTGAATTTCTTGCTCAAGTAATAAATGACTCGCTCTTTCTTCCCAGTCTCATCATGTTGACCAAGCACGCATCCAAATGTGTTATTCGAGACCGATAAATATAGCAACAACGGACTTCATTCTCATGGAGGAACCAACACCGGTGGATTGGATAAATAATTCTTGATGGCATCAAAAACGGTTTGACATACTCCGGTCCACTTGGTCAAGACATCTTTTTTCAACAACTTGAAGATGGGCTCATCCACCACGGTGGATTGAGCTATGAACCGGCTAATGTAGTTTAGCTTTCCCAGAAACTCATCATCTCTTTCTTGGTCTTCGGAAGAGGTAATTCTTGAATCGCCTTGATCTTCGAAGGGTCAAACTCAATGCCCCTCCTGCTGACTATAAATCCCAACAACTTGCCGGCTGGCACTCCAAAAGCACATTAGGCGGGATTTAACTTCAAATTGTATCGGCGTAGATGATCAAAGAATTTCCTCAAGTGAGTCAAGTGATCCGAACTCTCGCGGGACTTGATTATGACATCATCTACATACACCTCGATCTCCTTATGAATAATATCGTGAAAGATGGTTGTCATAGCCCTCAGGTAAGTAGCGCCGACATTTTTGAGACCAAAAGGCATCACCCGATAATGATATACACCCTAGGGCGTAATGAAGATTGTCTTTTCTGCATCCTCTTCGTCCATTAAGATCTGATGATAACCCGCATAACAATCCACAAATGACTGCATCTCATGCTTGGCGCAATTATCAATGAGAATGTAAATGTTTGGCAATGGAAAATTATCTTTCGGGCTAGCTTTGTTGAGATCTGTGTAGTCAACACAAATTCTGATTTTTCCATCCTTCTTGGCAACCGAAACAACGTTGGCTAACCAGGTCAGATATTGCGTCACTTCCACTACTTGAGACTCGATTTGTTTGGTAATCTTCTCTTTGATCTTCAAACTCAACTCAGGCTTAAACTTTCGAGTCTTTTATTTTGCCGGACTGAATTCTGGATTAATCGACAATTTATGAGACACCATGTTTGTACTTAGCCCCGACATATCTCTGTAAGACCAGGAAAATACATCGATGTATTCTCTGAGCAAGGGAACCAGGTCCCTTCTTTGAGCTTCAGTGAGATAGACACTGATTCTTACTTTTTTGACACACTTCTTATCTCCGAGATTCACAGTCTCATTTTCTTCCAAATTCGGCTTGTGTTTATTCTCAAATTGTCGAAACTCTTAGGCAACATGTTCGAGTACCTCATTTTCTTCTTCATATTCCTTGCACTCATCATCACCTGCCTCATTTTGTTCACTCGGTTCATGACATGACATGACATTGGCAGGTTTTAAATTAATATTACTGAAATTATAAACAAACAAAGTTAGGAAAATAAAATATAAATAGATAAGTAAACAAATTTTGATAAAAGAGGTTTTCAGTTAAATTGAAAAACAAGAACAAACTATTGTCACGGCCAAGAGCCATTTTGCCTTTTTAAACATCACAAGGGAATTTAAAAACTTCAAACAAATAAAAACTGCATAAAGGGTGGGTCTCAGGCCTCCTCCGGACTACCACTGATTTTAAAAACAAACATAAGCGCATGTCTTTTCTACCTAGCTGCACGGGAAATCAGGAGCGGTGTGGAGGTCCAATTTTGCAATTGCTCATTAGGTTCTGCATCACGGATGCCCGACATCCCAACCTCTTCCTCGATGACCGCATCAATCTCCTCAAACAGGCCCCAGATTCCTTCCTCGAGACCACCATTGTTGACATATTCTCGCACCGGGAATGACTGGTACAGATGAGGAATTGGCCTAGCCAATGCTTGATCAACACTCTTGTTCTTCGTCTCTGCTTTGTCATCTGTTGGGACATATCCCAAACCACATTTCGCTCCTTTGGCGAGGATTGAATAGGCTCGACAATTCCTTGAAAGTACTTCCCCAATCCGAAACCTGGTTTGAAACCACTCTGGAGCATAACAATAGCAATCATCTTGTTCACAGAAGGCATAGGAGGCTGTGGAGCCAAGTCATCACCGGTGGCATTTACCAGCTCCACCGTGTAGAAATCACAACCTCGAGAGATATCATAAACGATCGATGCATACCCATTAGAATGGCTCCCTTCACCATAAATGACCAATTCATGGTCCTTCCAAACAAATTTCATTAGTTGGTGAAGGGTAGAAGACACAACCCTAGCCATGTGGATAAACGGTCTCCCCCGAAGCAAATTGTAACTGGTGTTGTTATCCAACACATGAAACTCCATGTTAAATTCCACAGGACCCACCTGAATATCCAAGTTTACCGTACCCAATGTGTCTCTTTGCACTCCATCAAAAGCCCTCACATTGACTTGGTTCTGGTGAAGCTTTCCCATGTCGAATTTCAGCTGCCTCAGAGTCGAAAGTGGGCAAATATTAAGACCGGATCCATCATCGACCAAGACGCAATTTATTATCTTACCTCGACATATAATGGTGACGTGCAGAGCTTTGTTGTGCATCCTGCCTTCAAAGGGCAACTCTTCGTCACTAAAATTAATTCGATGTCCTCGAATGACCTGGTTTATCATGGCTGCTAAATTGTCACTATTGGTGCCCATGGGCACATATGTGTCATCCAAAGCCTTCATCAGAGCATGCCTATGCAACTGCGAACTCATCAATAAAGCCCATACATAAATCTGAGCCGGTGTCTTCTCCAAATGATTCACAATTGAATAATCTTTCGACTGCATTTTTCTCCAGAACTCCTCGGCCTCAACTTCACTGATCGACCTTTTTGTTTGGTCCTTCTTCTGCCCTCCTTGAGCCAACTCTTCCGGTGTGTAGCACCTGCCAGATCTGGTCATACCCTGGGTAACAACCGTTTCAATCACAAACTTTGGTCGGGTAAAAGTTTCTCGTGGCACCAAGGCAACAGCCTTCTCGGGTGTCAGAATCACAAACTCTTTCTTTTCTCTCATGCTCAACAAAGCTAATACCATTTCCAGTTCATCAGGAGCGATCAGAACTATTGTCTTTATCATGCACCAATCATCATTTTTCTCTATCATATTGATAGTGACGTCTCCATGATTGGGCAAAGGGTTACTGTTGACATTCGGCGCAACTGTTTGGAGAGAGACCAATTTCTGGTCAATCAGATCTTGGATTTTATGCTTTAGGTTGATACAGTCCTCCGTATCATGTCCAACACCATTAGAGTGATATGCACATCTCTGATCAGGACTGTAAAACTTTGAGCTAGTGTCAACCGGCTTGGGCCCCACTGGATGAATATATCCTGCCGCAGTTAATTGCTCGAACAGCTTTGTTCGGCTTTCAATGAGCGGAGTGAAAATTTCGACGAGCTTCTTCTCAAATCTAGGACGGGGGGATCGTAAGTGCCTTGCGGCGGAGATGACATTTGACGATAATTTGGAGCATTTAGACGGGGTGCTTGATATCTTGGGTATGGATTGGTTTGGTAATTTGGATGTGGAGCTTGGTAGTTCGGGGGGGGGAGGGGGGCTATTTTGGTAAAGTAGAGCTGGGGTTTGGTACATTGGGGGAGGCATTTCGTAATTTGTCTGAACATTGGCACAGTCGGGGGCGGCGTTTCGATAGTGATGAGGCGGAGTTTGGTAAACTGGAGGGGGAGTTTGGTAGCTAGGAGTGGGAGTATTTTGATAACTGAGGGAGGGGTATTTTGATAATTGGGGGGATGGGTATTTTGGTAATCAATCGGTGCATAACGAGCCGGGTACGAACTCTGTGAAGGTTGAGAACAACCTTGGTATGACGTGGATTTCCTTGGGGTCTTCTTCCCTTCATAAGAGATAGAAAACACATCTTCTCTTATTTTCTTCAACAAACCCGAGGATCCGGG